CTCCATGCTTCCTCGTCACCAAGTGATGAGGGAGCATGGAACCGGCTTTCTGGCCAATCAGGAACCCGGGCGCTGTGCAATGACTCGCCGCCTAGTTTCTTGCTGGGCCGGGAAGCCGGCCAATCAGGAAGCAGGGCGCCGCGTCTTTACACGGCGCCCCCGCCTTCCATGATCGACCAGCAAGCCGGCTCCATGCTTTCTCGTCACATAGCGACGAGAAACATGGGGGCGGCTTCCTTCTGAATTGGGAAGCCGGGTGGAGAGTCTTTACACGCCGCCCGGCTTCCTGAATGGGACTTCCGGTATCGGTATTTGGTATCGGCGAGCACCGGGGAAAAAATACCGGTATTCGGTGCATCCCTAGTTTAACATAATGGCCCCCCAATGAGGTAGTTCCAGTGTTGCCCACCTGTAACGGTACATCTTGTGGCGGGATCAAGTGATGATTACTATGGCACCTACCTGGCAGCATCTTCGCCAGCGTGAACAGCGTGGAGTCATTGGCGACAAAGCAGGACGAGAAGAGAAGAGCGGCGTCCTTGTGGTGCAAGTCGGCTAATTCACACTCCAGGTCCACGTGGTACTTGCTGGTGCCCGAAATGTTCCTGGTTCCACCCGCCCCGGCACCGTGCTCCTGAAGAGTCCCCCTGGAGGCAGAAATTGGCGCAGGTTTTGGATAATCCGATTGGCTGCTTCGATATGCAGAAGCGATACAATAGAAGTCTTTAGCGCTAGTGAAAGGTCTGCGGTGCGTCCCGGGAACATTTCTGCATCTTTGAGCGCCGGCTTCTACACGTGAAGCCAGTTTATCAGTCCCAATTCTGCCCCACCTCACTGCTGAGGGCTAGTTCACACCAGACGCAGCCCATTCCGTTATTGAGCTGCATAAAAAAAAACGCATCACAACGCTTTCCTACGGGATCCTTGTGCTCTGTTCACATCGGAGCAGCCCGTTCCCGATGCAGCCAGAAAAAGTACAGCTTTCCCTATTTTAGCTGCATCGTATCGCGATGGACCGCCTCAAAAACGCATGCAAACAACGGAACGCACCTGAAATCCCATTTTAGAACCCGCCCGAGCTCATCACTAGTCAGGACCACTAGGCACGACGATAGAACACGCCCGAGCTCATCACTAGTCAGGACCACTAGGCACGACGATAGACAACGCGCGGGCTCATCACT